ATTGGGGGCTCTTTCAGGGTCAGGAGAATGAGGACCATCATTGTTATTGTTTTTGGCATATCAAGTACACCATGGTTAGCTTGCCAGGCTCTGCCATGCGGGCGGGATACTCTCAGTAGCTCGCTGGGCTCTCTGAGAGGGATGGAGGCTTCTGGGGCAGCCTCGAACCACCTTTACAGGTGTTCCCAGTCAGGCATACATGTGGGCATGATACTCAGTAGCCTGCCAGGTCCTCTGAAAGTGAGAACTAGAGAATAAGAGGTCGCCGCGCTTCCGGGAGCCTGGTTTTAGAGTCTCTGGATCCTGGCCATTGATGGGGTTACACGGCAGTTGGTGGGTGTAACTGCCTCGCCACTGGAAGGTGGGGGATCTGGGTGGAGGAGGCCCAGTCCTGAGCTGAGCAGGCTTGGAGAGCTCAGCCCCGGGTCCCGCACACCTGGGTTCCCCTGCCAGTTCCTTCACGCAAGAGGCTCGTCCAAGGGTGTGGAGAGTGGTCTCAGCATGGCTTTGGCTGGGCCCCGGAGGTCTTCAGCTGCCAACTCTCCGAACCCCATTTTTAAAAACTCAGCAAGCAAGGGAATAAACAGGGAGAACTCAGCAGTCAGCCCTCCTCCGACGGGCCGCTGTGACTCCGCAGTGCTTATTAGCTGTTCCCTCTGCCCCCTGACCCCTTGCCCCATCTTGGCCGGCAGCGTGCACAGTGCATGTACCCGATGGGTCTGGGCTTGGGACAGTGCCCGGCACAGTACCCGGGTCCTCTGCCACGGCCGCCAGCACTGCCCTGCCCTCTGCCAAGCGGGCATCTCTCTTGCTCTGCCCTCACAGGCTCCCAAGTCCCTTCAGAGCCCACCCCTGCGGGCCCAGTTCGGCCCTGATCCGAACTCCTGCTGAGTCCCGCCAGCCCTGCACAGAGCAGACCCTCCAAAGGACACCGCCCCTGGGGTGGATCCTGTCCACCCCAGCCCGTCCCCAACACACACATACACACACACACACACACACACACAGACACGCGCACACACACACCCTCTCACCCTCCCCGCCTGGAGGACTGGGCAGCTTCCCGGGGGACCTTGACCCTCTGAAAGGCAACACCCACCTGTCTCCCAGCCAGAGACTTTTGTTGTGGAAACCAGAGAAGGGCGGGAAGAGTAGGGCAAGCCGAAAGGCAAACCGCAGCTGACTGGTACCTGGGCCCCCCCTCCCCTCAGAAAGCCAGAGGGGGGTCCTGGAGTCCTGAGGCCACTTCGAAGCACAGAGACCTAGTGCCGGAGTTTAGATGCTTGCCTGGCATGCACGCGGGCGACCAACGCCCATCACACCCCAAAGGGCCCCCCAACCCTGCCAGAGTGATCTCAGCACCCCCCTCCCTTCCAGCTCTGTGGCACCCCTGCTGGGAGGCTATGAGATGGGGACTTGCTAACGCAAAAAACGGGGGTTCTAAGGGGCCTCTCGGTTCCACCACCACTGTCCAGACCCCCCACCCCCAGCTGGCCTGTCTCTAGTCTAACCCTTTCCGCCACCCCACAGTGCTTCCAGCAGAGTTTCGACAGACCCGCCCTTCCTCAACTCTGTTTTCAGAATCCAGAATGCCCCAGGACCCTTTCCCCAGCTTCCATCCAGAACTGCCCAGGCCTGAGCTGTACCCAGGGGCCGAGCCAAAACCCGGAGGCAAGCCCTGTGCTCCCCACCAGCCTTCTCTGTCCCTGTCATTTCTTTTCCCTCCAGCATCATTACTTCAAAAAGCCCCCTAGGCCCGAATGCACAATTACTAGGCCAACACAGAGCAGAGAACAGAACGCTTCTAACCCACAACTCCCATGCGCAGCAGGACGGAAATGCAGGGGGCGGGGAGGGGGGGAGGGGAATCTACCAGCCAACATACAACCAACAGGGAAAGATGAAAAAGGGGAAGGGGAAGATGAAAAGACCTGGGGGCTGGAGGGGGTGCAACATGGTGGAGAGAGATGCAGGGGGTAGGCACTTGGCTTGCCATGCAGCTAACCTGGGTTCCAGCCCTGGCACTGCAGATGGTCCCCTGAGCACCGTCAGGGTCCACTGCTGAGCCCAGAGCCAGGAATAACTGCTCAGCACAAGAAAGGGAGGGGGGGAGGAGGAGGAAGAGGAGGAGGAGGAGGAGGAGGAGGAGGAGGAGGAGGAGGAGGAGGAGGAGGAGGAGGAGGAGGAGGAGGAAAAGGAAAAGGAAAAGGAAAAAGGCAGGACAGAAAAGGAGGAAGAAAAAGAGAGCGGTTCCCCAGATCCAGAGGGTTTAAGGCACAGTGAGGAGAGGGCTAATAAGTGTTCATTGAGCGGCAGGGGCTGCTTTGTTCTTCTAGAACCATCCTTCCCTCCCCGCCTCCGCCTGAGCATTAAGCTGGAGAGGAAGAACTACTCAGGCAGGTACCGGGAGCTGGCAATGACGGGGGTGGCTCTGGAGCTGCAGAGACAAGGTGACCGCGTCCCCATCGTCTGGAACACTGTTCTCCTCACAGACAGATCATTCGACAGTCTGGGCGAGCAACATGTCCCCAGAGGCAATTGCCTCTGGAGTTCAGCTCTTGGTTCCCACCGAGAAGCAGAGTAATGAGTGAGAAGTCGTCTGCATCCCACCCTCCCCAACCAGTGTTTGCTAAAAGAGAGGCTACAAAAGTAAAAGCCCAAGGCAAACGGCGGAGGCTGTAAATAAACAGGCAGCCTGCTCAGTGCCAGCCAAGAGCTTAGCGAGGAAAGATGTAACAGGTACACTTCCTCCTGGCACCTCTCAGGCATTTGGATCCAATTCCTAGAAACAGCCACCAGCACAGCCATTCTCTTCTCACTCCTGTCTCCTCCCAGCCCCTCGCTGGGACCCGCCTGCCCCTCAGAGGTCTACCAGCTTCCAGTTCACGGAGGCAGCAATCGGAGGCCTTAGAACTTGCTTCCGCTCTTTCTGCAGAGTACAACCACAGAATTCCTGAGCCAGGCGGCACGCGTGAGGAATCACCATGTCTGAGGAAGTCCTTTGCACAGAGATCTCCCATTAGGGCAAAGAGGTATTGCTGAGGAGGGGAGCCATGCCATGCAGGACAGAGAGCAGAGCTGGGCACGGGGCAGCCAAGGTCACGTGGCTCTGAACATGCTCACTGAGCACCTTCCAGCTCCTATTTACAGACTGGCAGTTCACTTAGCCAGAGAAGAGCACAGGAGTTGCGAAGTAGAATTTCTAAGGATGTTACGGTGTAGAGGGCAGACAGGGAATATGGAGCAAAGGAGTGCAAGGCTCTCTTAGAGGGAAGAAACGTGACCATGCAGAAATCCTTGATAAAGCTTTTCTTACCAAATCTTATATGCGTGATTTATGATCACTATATTTGTATTGAGTTTGGGTATGTAATAATTTCAAATTTAAAACATGAACATTGTTATGGGCTGGAGCGATAGCACAGTGGTAGGGCGTTTGCCTTGCACGCAGCCGGCCTGGCCGAGCCAGGTTCGATTCCTCCGCCCCTCTGGGAGAGCCCAGCAAGCTACTGAGAGTATCTCACCTGCACCGCAGAGCCTGGCAAAGCCTGGCAAGCTGCCCGTGATGTATTCGATATGCCAAAACACAGTAACAGAAGTCTCACAATGGAGACATTACTGGGCCCTGTTGAGCAAATCGATGAACAACAGGAAGACAGTGCTACAGTGAACATTGTGACTATTTTACTGTGGAAATTTGGCAAATAAAAACAAAATTAACATCATCTTAAAGACAGCAGCTGAGATCATCAGTGTTAAAACTTTGTTACACATTGTTCCATTCTATTTTCTTTACATATTTACTTCTTTTTCAAAATGTTTTTAAATGTTTTAACTGTTTGCAGACCACACCTAGCAATAGGAGGGCTACTTCCTGCTCGGGTTGGGGCACCATTGTCCACTCCACACTCTCTGCATGCAAAGCATGTGCTCCAGACCTCTGGGCTTTCTTCCCTACCCTATTTTTTCTTTTTCTTTTTCTTTTTTTTTTTTTTGCGCTTTTTGGGTCATACCTGGCGATGCACAGGGGTTACTCCTGGCTCTGCACTCAGGAATTACTCTTGGTGGGGCTCAGGGGACCGTATGGGATGCTGGGAATCGAACCCAGGTTGGCCTCCTACAAGGCAAACGCCCTACCTGCTTTGCTATCACTCCAGCCCCCCCCCCCTTTTTTTAAATAAGTATTTTCTTTGATATAATGTGGAGAGTCGCTAAAACAACTAAAGAGAACAAGTGAGAATTTGCCTTAATAAAAATCTGAAATAGATCTCAAAAGCTCAACTACTTAGGATACGTCAATTCTGTGAAAATAAGAATATCAAGATGTGCCTGCCAGTGACTCACACAGAAAAACGAAACAGCAATTTGGAGCAAGGGATTCATCCAGAGAGGCGGGCCACATTCAATGTTTAAGTATCATCCGCGCAGTACATTGCTCTCAAAAGATGAATCAAGTCTATTAAGTCATTCTCTGGTGCGTTTTATCTTGATAACAGACTCCCACAATCATATGGCTATTTCTTCAAGTACCTGGAGTTTTGTTAGTTTCAAGTTTTTGTTTGTTTGGGGCTGTTGGGTCCCCCCCCAAAAAAAAGTTGGTTTAAATGCACTCAGCCCGTTGCAGCTCTTCCTCGCCTGCTGCTTACGGAGGCCCGTGCAAAAGACAAATCCCTGTTTTCAGGCACCCCGACGACCCTCCGGTGTTTGCTTCCCCCCGAGGGGTACTAAACCGCTGCTTCCATCCGGCCTGAGCAGAGGGAGCTGCCAACAGCCCGCCGCGGACGGGAACGCCCAGCTCACGGCCCCGGGCACCTGGGATGCTCGCGCGGGGCCACCCGGCCCCAGGCAGTGCAAGAGGAAGGGTGGGCGGTGCAAGGATGCCGAGCCGGGACCCGGCGGCGCGCCCCTGCCCGAGCGGCTGCCCGGGAGGCCCGGGACCCCGCGCTCAGCAGCCCGAGGGGGACCACCCACCCGCCCCCGCGGCCCCGCCGCGCTGTTACCGGCTGCTCCATGGCGCGGGGGCGCGGACAGCTCCGGGGAAGCGCGGGCGCGTGGGTCCCGGCGCGCGGCTCCCGGCTCCAGCCCGGGCGGTTGGCGGCGGCGCCCGCGGTTGCCATGGCGACACCCGCCGCCCCCGCCTGGACCCGCCGCGCCTCGCTCCCGCCCCCTGGCACCTCCGGGGCTGCCGCTCACGAGGTCCGCAGCGCCCACTAGCTGCGGATCCGCGGAATCAGAGTCCGAGCTGCGCCCGCACAGCGCGGGCGGGCCTGCAAGCAGTTTCCTCCTCCTTGGCATCGGGGAAGAGCTCAGATTTTTTCCCCTGAAATCCTCTGCACGGGCTGGAGCGATGGCACGGCGGGTAGGGCGTTTGCCTTGCATGCACAGACCCGGGCTCGGTTTCCTGTATCCCATGTGGTCTCCCACACCCCACCTCCACCCCCACCCCCCAGCGCCGGCCAGGAGTGATTCTCGAGTGCAGAGCCAGGAGCAACCCCGGTGCATCGCAGGGTGTGACCCAAAAAGGAAAAAAAACACTTTGCATAATTGATGCAGTGTCCAAAAGCAAGCAGAAGACACAGAGACAACTGAAATGCCATTCTTTGCAAAATGTTCATGATACATATTTGACAAGGAATATGCAGGCTTTCTAAAAAACTAAATCGTATAACATGGAAAGGTAAGCCTACGGGATAGGGCAAACACTTTCTTTAAAAAAAAAATCAATTTGAGGGGCTGGAGCAATAGCACAGTGTGTAGGGCGTTTGCCTTGCACACAGTCGACCTGGGTTCGATTCCCAGCATCCCATATGGTCCAGGAGTGACCCCTGTGCATCGCTGGGTGTGACCCAAAAAAAGAAAAAAATATATATGAGGGGCTAGAGCGACAGCACAGCGGGTGGGGCGTTTGCCTTACACCTGGTCGACCTGGGTTCGATTCCCAGCATCCCATATGGTCTCCTGAGCTCCGACAGGAGTGATTCCTGAGTGCAGAGCCAGGAGTGACCCCTGAACATCGCAGGGTGTGACCCAAAAAAAGCAAAAAAAAAAAAATTTGAGACGAACTGCCATTCTTTGCAAAATGTTCATGATACAAATATCTCTACAAGGAAAATGCAGGCTTTCCAATAAAAAATTAAATCCTATAACATGGAAACAGAATAGGACAAGCACTTTTTTTTTAAATATCTGAGACGAAGTAGCTGCTCAGCAGGATGAAACTAAAAAGGCAAGTTGTAGAAAGCAAGAAAAGATGACTTTTTCATTGAATGTTATAGTTGTAGAAATCGTTTATCAAAGCATTTCTGCTGCTGGAGCGATAGCACAGCGGTAGGGCGTTCGCCTTACACGCAGCCAACCTGGCTGACCCGAGTTCGATTCCTCCACCCCTCTCGGAGAGCCCGGCAAGCTACCAAGAGTATCTCGCCCGCACGGCAGAGCCTGGCAAGCTCCCCGTGACATATTCGATATGCCAGACACAGTAACAACAAAGTCTCCAATGGAGACGTTACTGGGCCCGCTCGAGCAAATCGATGATCAACGGGAGGGTCTTTACCTTTACCTTTACCTTTCTACCCCAATATGGAGAAAGCATTACCCATAAAAATCTGTGTACAGACTTCAGTGTGTAATAGTAAAATGCAGAAAGCAAGTGGAGGTATAAAGTCACCAACTGAGTGAATGTTAGTATGAAATATACCTATAACAAATCTATTCTTAGGAGCAATATCCTAGTAAAACAATAAAACTTCAAAGGAAGTTACATTTTTATCAACCCTATGTTCTCTGCCAAAACTGACTATACCCAATTCATTGCTTAAATTTGAAAAGATTAAAGCAAAATGATGCAAATGCAAGAAAACTTCTGGCTTTTAAATCACCTTTACATTGTATATTTTTATGGGACCTTTGGGTATGGCCCCAGATTTACAGAAACAAATGCAATAATCCATCCAAAAAATCGCTGCTTTCTTGCACTTGGATGACCTTGCTTGTATTTTTTTAGTATCAAAGTGTTAAAGCAACTTCTCAGCCAAATTGAAAAAAGTAATGTGTAAAAATTTTATTTCAAACTTTCCATAAAAGAAAAGCCAGCCAAAAGCACTCCAAAGATCTTCCTTTCAACTTACAGAAATTTATAGGTTAAAAAGTTACTATTGGGGCCTCAAAGCAATAGTTCAAAGTGTAGGGCATTTGCCTTGCACATGTCCAGCTGGGGTTCAATCCCAGCATCTCATATGCCCCATCCTCGGCCCAGTTCCACCGGGAGTAATTCCTGAGCATTGTGAGGTGTGACCCAAAAAGAAAAAGAAAAGTGAAAAAAAGTTAGCATTAGAAAATAATCCTAAAACCAAAAATAAGTAAAAAAGCTTAGAGACAGTTCAGTCTTATACTCAAGATTGTTTAATAACTGGTCTATGCAAAATTACTAAATTCTCCAGAGCAATGTACCTTGTTTGATTATTATTTATCATTGATTAGGGGGCAGAGTCTAAAGTTACAGAATAACTTCTATATTTCTGTGAAGTTAAAAAGAAATTATTTCTGTCTGGGTGACAAGAACATCACAAAAGTTATTGTGTTGCATTATAATGTACCTTAACCAATTCTGTGACTATGTATTGGGGTGGTGGTGCTCGGTTTGAATGAGATTTGGTCACACCTAGCGGGGCTCAGGGGTTACTACTGGCTCTGTGCTCAGACATCATTTAAAAATGCTGGAACTGGAAAGAAGGATGGCGGCCGCATGGGAGCCTTGTGGACAGCAGGTATGAGCCGGGGGTGTGGGGGCGACTAAAACCTCATGGGAAGGGGGGCGTTCCGGTCCGTCCTTCACGCCCTACCGAGGTCACCAGTTGCCCCCCACGAGCGGCTCTCCAGCATGGCCACGGCCCCAGAAGCACAGGGACTTAATGCAGAACCCGGCAGCTTGGAGCAGAAAAGTGAAAGGACTATGCGTTAATCCAGGCCATCATGTCTGTCCGGAGGGGAAAGGGTGTTGCCCCAGTCGCCTTCTCCTCTCTGGAAAGAAAGATGGCGGCCACATGGGAGCCTTGTGGACAGCAGGTATGAGCCGGGGGAGTGGGGGCGACTAAAACCTCATGGGAAGGGGGCGTTTCGGTCCGCCCTTCACGCCCTACCGAGGCCACCAGTTGCCCCCCACGAGCGGCTCTCCAGCACGGCCACGACTCCAGAGCACAGAAACCAATTTCTTAACTATCTGACTTTCAGTAGAAATACTTCCAGGGTCAATAAGTAAAATAGCAGAAATCCAAAACCAACATTTAATTCTTGAACCCAGCTGTAGAAAGCAAATTACGTCACAATGCTTTTTCAGCATGTCTGATTTGGGGGGGGGGGGGTAAACTCTAAATAATAGTGGTGAATCTTTTATTGAAACAATGAATCTAATCAAAGCAGATAGAGTGTTAACTAGAATTCATCTGCCCCACAGGGACTGGGAGGGGTGGGGGGTGGGGGGTGGGGTTTTATTGGGGTTCTTCATGGTAAAAAAAAAAGTATTGGTAAAGGGAAATGTGTTTGATATTTCCATGACTGAGACCTAAACCTGAAAGCTTTGTAACCTTTCCCACGGTGATTCAATAAATAAAAAAAAAAATGCTGGAACTTTCATCAGTGACCTAAACAAATCTCTAATACACAGTTTTATATTTACATAAAGATCACACTTTTCATTTTTATTATATTTCAATGGGCTGGAGCGATAGCACAGCGGGTAGGGCGTCTGCCTTGCACGCAGCCAACATGGCCGACCCGAGTTCGATTCCTCCGCCCCTCTCAGAGAGCCCGGCAAGCTACCGAGAGTATTCGATATGCCAGACACAGTAACAACAAAGTCTCCAATGGAGACATTACTGGGCCCGCTCGAGCAAATCGATGATCAATGGGAGGGCCTTTCGTAAGCTCCTTTAAAGGGCTCAGAAATGCTTTATTCAGAGCTGGAGAGATAGTACCGGGATTAAGGCATTTGTCTTGCATGTGGCCAACCCCAGCTCAATCCCCAGCACCCCAGATGGCCCATCAAGCTCCACCAAGATGCATCTGATCCCTAAGTACAGAGCTAAGAGTAATGTCTGAGCACTGCTGGGTGTGACTCCAAATCCAGTCATAATAATAATGAAATGTTCATTATTTCATGAGGGAGTCATAAATGATGTCTGAGAAAAATTAGCAAGCCCTGTATGGGAGGGGTTTTCCTCCTCACTTGTCATTGTATGAATTTCAAATCAGTAAGTGCAAACAGAATTATACATTCTCTAGATTGTACTGGGAAGGAATATGAGGACATAGGACACAGTGGAAGCGCTTTTCGAAGCCATCCCTGAGTCAGAACACCATAAGGAGTAATTCCAAAGTGCAGAGCTAGGAGTAAGCCCCGCACATTGTCCAGCTGGACCCAAAACCCCACAAATTGCATTTGAAAAGAGAAACTTAAGCATTATATAAAGACAGAGATAATATTATATTTTTGCTTTTTTTTGTGGGGGGAGGTGGCGGTCACATCCAGCAATGCTCAAGGCTTACTCCTGGCTCTGCACTCTGGAATTACTCCTTCCTGGTGGTGTTTGGGGGGAGGGGATCATGTGGAGGCCCAGGACGGGAACCACCCAGGCTGGCCGCGTGCAATGCAAACTCCCTACCCACTGGACTATGTCTCCGGCCCCCAATTTCTATAACTTGAATGAATCCCATCTGAGGCCACTTGTCATTCAGGGCAACGTGTATAATAAGTTCTCAGGGAAACCCTGTTTCTGCTGGGACGACTGACACATTCAGTGTGTTCAAATCACCCTGGAAATAGAACTCCGCTAGATTCAAGATGTATAAATTCTTACCATTCCGATTCTACACAACGGTGATAACGCTAATAAGTATGTCTTTCCATTTGTGGGAAAAGAAGGTCTTTGGTAAGTAAATAATTGGTATACACAAAATTGATTTGAGAGAGAAAATTAGCCTGTGAATCCTTTTGTAAGCAATTATGGTTTTTCAAATATTTGTAGGCACTCCAAGGAACCACGTATCAATAAATCATTAATAAGTTAATTAGAGAGCATCCTTACACAGTCATCAACTATGATCTCCCCCGAACTCCTGCTAAGAGGTGCTTTACTATCTGGGGCCTAATTGTCGCATGTATTTAAAAGTAATAAACATTGCTCCTTTATTTCTCACAGGCTGGATGAAGCTCATTCATCTGAATTAATGAGAAATACAGAGGTGTGCGCGTGTGTATGCAAGTATTTTGAAATTCCTGTGTTTTCCTTGTCTGAATT